TGGCCATTTTACCCACATATTGCAAAAAGTAAAATGGTGTATCAATTCATTCCATTATTTCTTTCATAACATAGTTGAGAATAATCTTTATACAAATTTTGGTTGAAAAAATCCTGAAACCCCAAAATGTATTGGTGATTGAAAAAAAAATCCCATTGTTTTTGCCTATACATATAATTTCATGTCATTTTATTTTTTAAACAACTTAGTCCTGGCGTCCACTACAGAGGACATAGCATAACGTATGAATAAAATATTATTTTATATATATGTTTTTTTACCATTTGTTTATTGTGCTCTAAACAGTGTGATGACATGGAAAAAAACTAAATTCAAAAAACTTTTTTTTTCTGGGTCTCAGGAGGTTATAGTTAACTAAAACAAAAAGCATGAAAAGACATTTTATCGTTACTTGAAATAAATAAATAGACATTAACTGAAATAAAATAACAACATTTTAAATAAAAATAATTTACACATATTACAAATATATATGACAATAACAACCAATGATGAACCATGCTCAAAAAATCAATTTAAGTTAGTGCTGTCAAATTGATTAATCGCACCTAACATAAAAGTTTGTGTTTATATAATAATATATACACACACACATTATATATTTACAAACTTTTATGTTACATGCGATAAATCGATTTGAATTATGAAAATATAGAAATAATTCCAAATATTAATAAAAACTATAATAGTATCTCAATGATTCTAAAATAACACGGATATGGTTGTTGTATTATTTCAAAACAGCTTTGTAAAATTAATAAAAAATAAATCATGATAGTTTGATTTATGAATATATGGCTTTCTTTACAAATGAATGTTTAAAACCTCGGCAAGGGAGGCTACTTTAAAGAATTTTAAATATAAGATTTGATGACTTTGTCATTATTTTCAAAAGTGGACAGTAGTAGAAATAAAAATAAGTATGTGTTCAAATATGAACCCTCCAGATCTGACTGGGTTACAGAACCACGATTCGTTTATCTCTGTCTGTGATGAACACTTGTTTGAACACTTCATGTGTCGGGTCTAAGATGACCTGACCCCGGCCTCGCTTCTGTTTATTTTACAAACTTCACAAAATCCTGCAGGAATCAAATATCTGGGACATCAATGGCTCTGTGGACAAATGTTCGGGATGCAATTTTAAAGCATTTTTTTTTGTTTACCTCCTTGATGAATGCAATCCATTCTGTCAACAGAAGACAGAGAGAAGAGCCTGTAGCCATTCTTACAACCAACAGCCAAAGACCTGAGAGAGAGAGAGAGAGCTACTTTTGACTTTTACAAAACCCTCTAATTACAGTTAAAAATAGATTTACATAATTCCACAATTATACACACACAAAAAAAATGTTCTTTTCTAAAAAACCATCACTTATCTTGCATAAAATTCCATTTAAACACCAAACTTCCTCAAAGGTTACCAATTTTCCAACAAGTTTATAGGGAAATTCAACTACTAAACGAGCAGAAATCAAACCTTTATGTGTTAAAAAAATATTAATGGAACATTTTCCCACAATCTTAGCTTTTCTTGTCAATCATAAACTTAATTTAGCTTGTCCATACAAATAATTCAAAAAAACATCAACATCCCTTGATTTATACCGATACTTAGGACCATAAATAAAACTTTCTTGGAGAGAGAGAGAGAGAGAAAGAGATAGATAGATAGATAGATAGATAGATAGATAGATAGATAGATAGATAGATAGATAGATAGATAGATAGATAGATAGATAGATAGATAGATAGATAGATAGATAGATAGATATATGTCATGTTTGTGAAATGGCATAGACTAATAACTGTGCAATTCAAATGTCATGCAAAACTCGTCTAGTTTTTAAGAACATACGGATCCCGACAGGATTTATATGCGCGCTCACGTCGTGTCCTGGTTGAAGAAAGCGCAGGAGAGTCTCTGGAGATCCGGAGATCCATCAGAACCGAGTCTTCGAATCTTCTCTCCGGTTCCGAACTCTGGGATCGGTTCGATCATCCTAAAACGTCCCAGTCCGCAACGAATCGAAAGACGTTTGGCTGGTGTGTGTCCATAAACTGTGGCAATTTACTTTCAAAGCAAATTACATGTTGGGCAACTGAATTATTGTTTTTAAGGTAATTATTATATTACATGCTCGATTAACAACGTCCAGTGACTGACATGCACAGTTTTCAGTTTGAGCAAAACAAGCTGACGTGAGGCGCCTACGTCATAGAGCCATGAAGAATCTTATTGGTTAAAGAAAACGTCTGTCTCGCTTGGTTCGAGCCCACTGCTCGAGAACTGTGTCTGATTGGCTCACTCTTGCACTAATGGGCGTGGCCTTTGAGAAGCCGCTGGTGATTGGCCGCTTTCGCTCTCAATAACAGCACGAGGGATTGTTTACCTTGCGTTCGTCGAGCTTATATGGCTTATAAAGAACATCTTGTTAATAAACCACACTTAAATAAAGATACACACGTATAATATCCT